TTTTAAAATTTTTTAATTTTATTTATTTTTTGTATTTAATTACTTCCTTTGCAATTAACATTTTTTAAACTTTTTTTAGGCAAAGACTCAATTATAAAACGTTAAAAGACGTGAAACTTTGATTATTATATAAAAATATATACAAATCAAGTTATATTACAAGTGGGTGGAATTTTTTGCCTGCCGGTGTATTTTGGTCAACTTGGATCGTTAAAAAACTTTAAATGAAAGTTATACCTCGTTTCCTTTTCTTTATTTATTTTGCAATTTCGTATAAAATGCAACAAGTAAAAATTGGGATATTTGCAATGAGTAAAATATGGACATACACAAATTAGATGCACATTTACATGACTGGCGTGCCCACCTTCCAGTGAAAAGTGGCCGTAATTTGCCAGTGTGGAGTGAAGTCGACAGCAGACCCTAGAGGCACCTAAGTTACAAAATCAGATGGTCCACGACCACCCGCTCTTCAGGCTTTTATGAGGATGGAAGGTTGAGCTTGACAAGTTGCGGATTAATGTTTTGTCATGAGAGGATAGGTTTGAATGAAATTTGTTATAGCGGGAGTTGGCCAGGTTTTGGACCTAGGGTATATCGGAGTGGATAGTACGATTTTTGATGTAGAATTGAGCATTATTGTGCTAAGGATTTTATTTGAATATTGTTAAGATTGGACGCTTTGCTGTCACGTGCAGTTCGAGTCTTTAGGTCAAAAGAGGCGATTAGAGCAGTGTATAATAGTTTTTTGGTAAATATTGACAGTTTACAACTTTCGTCTAGTAGTCTCTTCAGCATTTTATAAACAAAGGTTACAGTCAATTCGTTTTAGTTGTGTGTCTGGTTCCATTTTTTGTCCAACTAAGTTGATCATATCTTTGGGAGGAGGAATTGGGGTACTGTTTCACTAGACAAGTAGGAGGTTTTTTTAAAAGTGAAAACTATGTTTTTAGATTTTTCATTGTTTACCTTGATTCTACTAATCCAGGGTTCAAGCGTATGAAGATGGAATTGGAAGTTGGGGATAGTATTGGGATTGCTGCATCAATCAGCTGTAAAGGAGTAAAATAAGCGGGGCAAGTATGTTTCCCTGGCGGACGCCGGCTAAAATGGTACAAGCAGAAGAGGAATAGGTGCCTTAGGTTACTTGGAAGTATTTGTTCGTTGGGAAAGATTCAGGTTAAGGCAGTATGTAAATGCCCTTTATTTTCCAAATAGACCTCGTGCCATACCCGACCTGGGAATGTCAAGGAAAAATCCTGGGCAGTATTGCTTAAGCTAGAGGGTGATGGTATCGACGGTGGGCTTGGTGATTAGTCGAAATCTACGTTTAGCTGTACAGGTCATCAAACGGTACCGAACAACTTACAATTAATTAATCTTTAATTAAGGTTTTGGTTGAGATAAAAAAGTCAGCGTCACAAGCGGGATTCGAACCCACGACGTTCGGCTAAATACGCCGCTGTTCTACCACTGGGAAGTTGGTGTCCGAGTGGATCGAAGTCACGATAGCTCGTGGTAAAAGAGCGGCGTATTTAACCGAAGGTCGTGGGTTCGAATCCTGCTTGTGACGCTGACTTTTTTATCCCAACCAAAACCTTAAATAAAGATTAATTAATTGAAAAGAATTTATTTGGTCAAACCGACCACGAAACCTAATAAATGTACCGAACAAATTCAATATCGATTCAATGCCAATAAAAATTAACTGAAAAAGTTGTCGAGTACCATTAAACTAAAAAGTAGACGCCCTGAGAGGTTTTGTGTCCATAATTTAAGAGTCCAATTTCCTCAAAACTGAAATTTTTTCTTAATATGTTCTACGTGCCATCGCCAATAACCCTAATAATGTTCAAAGTGCCTAACCTCCTTAAAAGTGGTTTGTTGCGTTTGTCATAGATGGCATTGGTCTATGAACGGGACATATGATTTTTCCAAAGGTTTCATGTGCCATGGCGTATCAGGCCGTTGGAGAATCAGAAGTTGGTTCCTGCATTTTACGTCTAGTGAATTCATATGGTATTTTCGGCAGAAAGAAACTGGTTATGTGGTCAGATAATAGTGCAAGCCAAAGTAAAAACCGCACGCTTATTTTTTTTAATGACGTTTTGGTACAATTTGGACATTTTGAAGAGATTCTTCAGAAATTTCTAAAAAGGGGTCATAGCTATCATCACCCAGGTTTTATCCAGTACAAGCCCACGTTCAATGACACAGACTTGTGTTAACGTGTTAATGTGCTAAAAAAAAGGCTAAACCTGATGATATTAAAAAAGTTGTCATTGATTCAGAAGGCATTCCTGTCAGATGGCAAGAAAAAAGATTTCTTTGCCATGTTGGATTTTTTGCCAGAAATTGCCAAAAACTATTGTCAAAACATTCTAAATAATTCTTCGGAGTTCGTGAGATGCGGTCTGGCGTGACGTAGGTTATAGAAAAACATTTTCCTTATCGTACCAAAGTTTCGGTCTTTATTTAGATCATCTTCAGCGCTCTGAACACGACAGGCAAGAATGACACATCTACACGGAAAACAAACACTTTGAGCGCTGAAGATGATCTCAATACAGGTCGAAACGTTGGCACGATAAAGAAAGTTTTTCTAAAATCTACGTCACATCAGACCGCACCTCACGATCTCCGAATAATCATTGACTAACGGTCACTAAACACAACACAATTCTAAATAATTAAAACTTTAATTTATCTTTATTCGTTAATTTCTTCTATTAAATTATTTACCATGTTCTATGTATCGATATAGTTTTCATTCAAATTTCATTATGTACCACGGTATTTCTTAGTTTGTTTTTGTTTTTTTTTTCATTGGACTAGCTGCGGAAGAATATACTCCCATATTACCAATAAAATTTCAATAAAGTTTTTGAGTTACCATTTGACTTACGCAATTTTATTGCTTTCCCGAAAAACAATAACAGAAGGTACTTTTCCATTCTTCAATTAGATTTCCAAAAAGAAATCTGAATTTGAAAAGGTCTTGAGGTGAGTAAGTGCGTTTTAAAGATTTCAATGTTTAAAGGGGTAAAAATAGATTGAATTTAATGATTTGTACAGATATGTTGAGGATTATATTAAACAAAATTAATATTAAAGTGAATAATCTGTAAAGAAGGCTTAATTTAATTAAGTTAAGTTAATCTCTAACCCTACTGGAAAAATCATAAAATAATGCAATCAGGAGGATCTCAAGTACGCAAATCAATAAAAATCGAAAGTTTTCGAATTTCTAAGTAAAATTTTAGGCAGTCCATTAATTATAAAAACATGGTTACCGGACTAATTTAATTCAAAGTTCAAAAAACAAAACATTACAATATCTCAGCTTTCTTTAAATCCTAAAGCAACAAAACGTCTCTCGCTAATGTAAAGCTATCCTCCGTTCTGAATGGACAACCAACCGATTTCCTTTTATCCATCTAAAAACCTAGGGATCCTCCTTGATCATATCCTGGAAAAATCCCCCCAAAAATATTTCCCAAATTTCCAGTCGCTGTTCGCAACTCCTGGCATCCTTGCCTAGGAAATGATGTTGATGATAGTGAAAGTGATGACATTTTTAATTTTGTATATATTACCTTGCTCATTGTTACATGTTACCCTTGAAGGTATTTGTAATGTATTACAAATTTGTAAAAAATTATATATCCATTTTGGCACGAATTGTGCTAAATTTTGTACTTTTTGTTATTCAAGTGAGCCCAAAGCCCCGGAATAAAATTTATTCCTTTTTATGCTTTTCTTCCACTATAATTACTAATTTAATAGTAAGTATGAGTACTAGGTGTATTTAAAATTTCGAAATCACAATTCCACATAAAATCTAACTCAAGTTTGAAATTTTATAAAACCAGATGAAACAATCTATAAAAAAAAAACTCTTAATGCAAAAGTATAATGATGAAGACTATTTATATGGGGGATTTGTTAACCTTAAAAGGGTTAACTTTTTAACGTAATTAACTGTGTCCGGTTATTAGGAAAAAAAGACACCTCTAGCGACAAAATGTTCCGGACATGTCACTTTTTGTAAATGTTGGTTCCACTCTCGGATTTTCACACCAATCAGTGAGTAGAACCGTTATCTACAAAAAGTGAATCTACATACTCGCCTTCATCTACATTGCTGACAAAAAAATCTATTTTAAAACAATCAACACGTTTAATTGTAAAATAAAGGGCTTGTTAAAAACCGCAGTAAGGCTAGAATATTAGGCTATTCACAATCTTTGTGTTAACCCTGTTAAATCTGTTAGGTCGTGTTAGATGGAGAAAAATGATGATCTAGACTTGTAAGAATCGGCTAATTAGCATTGCTCGATCTAACAGGCCAGGGCCAATGTTAGATGTTAGGTCGAAAATGTAGTAACTTTGCTATCCGTTAGGGCGTAGGTAACCAACATGGCAGCCATGAATTTAGCAGCTGTTTTTTGTTTACACGTATTTTTATTCTTAAATACTCATTAATTAAATCAGACCAATACATTTCTTTTTTTAATTTCTGACCTGTCCTTATGCTCTCATTAATAATAGTTACATCCCCCTATCCTATAAAGTAGTAGCTGTTAGAGGTTAGGATACAATTTTGGTATATCGCGACTAATTGAAGCATGTCATTTTGTTAATACTTTTCAAGTGCATATATAGCATTTTGAATGAAAGAGTTGATTAATTTTCCTTTTTTATTAACTTCTGGCATATTACAATTTAACACAAAATAAAACCAAAACAAACAACTAGTCTTCAAGGACTGTTATAGCCTTACTTTTGGTTTTACCATTCGCTTAATCTGTAAAACTTTCCAACTAATCTTATTATAGAAACCTGAATTATATTCGGTCGTGAAAAAAAAATTATTTCGCTTCGAGACATCCCGTGCATGTTAAACGTGCGTGTAAAGCCATCAAACCGTGAAATCCTTTAATTAAAAAAGGAAAACTGAAGAGAAAGAATCTAAGTTAATATAAATTTCGGCTATTTACCTTTCGGCATAGGCTGTCCATCCTGAATTATCCAAAATCCCGTTAAAATGCGAGGAAGGAAACCTGAAAAAAAATAATAGTTATTAATATTATTTTACATTTCGTTTTTTAAATATTACGAAACGTCGCGGATCGAGATGTAGGGCTTTCGTATAAGAATCAACGCTTATGGCAATTACACCTCAGGCGACAAGGAAAATACCTTCAACTTTAGATGTTATTTAAAACACCGAATATCCAATTAATTCTGACACGTGAATGGATAATTTGTAAAATTTTACACATGGACAACCGAATCGTTCTTGCTATATGAATACACGTGTAATTGATAGAAATTTGTATATCAAAATTGTTACTGTTTGTTTTCTAGATCAACAGTTTTCGTATTTTATAAATTTACTGCCTTTTTTAAGTTAAAGTAAAGTGTTTTTAAAAATATAGTTCCTACTCACATTAAGTTGTTTTTAGCGATCCGGATTTCGAGCCTACCGCTCATCATCAGGTTGAACGAGCTCTACAATTGTTAGAAGGAGTTGTAGAGCTCTTTCAAACTGATGATGAGCTGTTGGCTCGAAATCTGGATCGATGAAAACAACTTAATGTGAGTAGAAACTATCTTTTTAAAAAGATCGAACAACACACTCATTCCACCGTTCATCTTTTCTATTAGAGTAAAGTAGCAAATAATAGTAAAGAATTCTGATTTAATTAATGCGTATTTAAGAGTAAAAATACGTGTAAACAAAAAACAGCTGTTAAATTCATGGCTGCCATGTTGGTTACCTACGCCCTAACGGCTAGCAATGTGACTACATTTTCGACCTAACATCTAACATTGGCCCTGGCCTGTTCATCAAGCAATGTTAACTAGATTCTAACAAGACTACGTCATCATTTTTGTCGATCTAACAGAGTTAACAGGTTTGAGTGAGTTTTACATTTTAATTCGACTTATGTATATAAAACCGCCGCCAGGTAATTTAGGTTTTTTGGAAAAAATAAAAAACTTGCCTAGGCTTCAATAATTGAAAAAAGTTCAACCCACAAACTGTTTTTAGCACTTTAATACTTTTTATTTGCAGTGATCCGGATTTCAAGCATTTCTAGGTCCACTAAAGTAAAAAACTAAAGTAAAAGTAAAGTAAAATGTTTGAAAGTAGATGTATCCTTTTACTATATTGAAATACTTCATTACCTAACCGTATTTTTCTATTCGAAATGTAAGCGAGGGAGTTCAAGAGAAAAAACTCTTTACCCTTAAACATCACCAACCGATATACACTGATATAAAGGTACAAAGTCGAACGATAAATATATCAAACTGATACATTAAGGAACTATTATTTTTGTAAACAGAATTATGATAAAAATGTAAACGTCAGAGCATGGTCAAAATTTTCAATTAACAAACATCAATAGAATGTTTATAATTAACAAACAGCATATAACAGACTAAATTTTGTACAAGGTATATCGATAGCATACTAACATTTAGAACCAAATCAAAAATACCTCTAACTAGGCAATATATTTATTACCAACTGAGATGATAATAGATAAATATATATATATATATATATATTTCCTAGATTTGTCAAAGTAATTGTTTACACAATTAATTAAATTTTTTATGTAAGATGTTGGTTAAAAAGAAAAAGTTAGCGTCACGGACAGGGGATACATCTACTATGAATGAGAGTATAACGACAGGTCAGAAATTAACCAAATAAATGTATTGATCTGATTTTAATAATGCATATTTAAGAATAAAAATAGTTGTAAATAAAAAACAGCTGTTAAATACTTGGCTGCCATGTTGGTTACCTACGCCCTAACGGCTAACCATGTGACTACATTTTCGACCTACCACCTAACATTGGTGGCCTGCTAGATCGAACAATGTTAACTAGCCGATTCTTACAAGTCTACATCATCTTTTTTCTCGATCTAACAGACATAACAAGGTTAACACAAAGATCGTGAATACCCCTAATATATAAAAGTTGAACCGAGTATTTCATACTCACACAAAGTATGGTGCTATTCTCGTGGTGTCATATTTGTTGTGAAATGTGAATTTTTTATTCACCCAATTTTATATGATTGTGACAGGGTGGGGAACGCGGTAATCTGTGAATTTTTGATTGATCGCAGGCGGTTCTATTTGACCCAAAGGAAGTCGGGAATGGAGATTTTCAAGATTGGATTTGTGATTCGGGGCTTGTTCAATATTGGAAAAGAAGCTTATTATATAGACGATAACGAAGGAAAGGGAAATATAAAAATAAAGTTTAATGGTTTTTATGATGTTGGCCCAGCGGTGAGTTTGCATATCTGTTATGTAATTAATGCCGTGTGGGACTCTGATAATTTCTAGAAAGTTACGTTTTTTATTTGTTTTGTTCGGCGTTAATAATTATTATTAGTTATGAATTCCAAAAAGGGTACAATGCAATTTTTGTGTATTGATTGGTACTAATGCTAACGGATAGCAATGTGACTACATTTTCTTCCTTAACATGTAAAAATGGCCCTTGCCTGTTAGATCGAGCCGATTCTTACAAGTCTACGTCATCATTTTTCTCGATCTAACAGAGTTAACAGGGTTAACACAAAGATCGTGAAACGCCTAGTAAAGATTTCTCATGGTTTTGATTTAAGGAAATGTTGTTTTAGTGCAGCTAAACGTTATTTAATGGCCGTTCTCTTAATGGGTTTTTGACAAAACAAAATTGTCCGACATTTTGTGCCAATTTCAACTAGATGATGCCATATGAAATGAAATGAAAATTACTTCATTAAATGATATTATTAGTTACAAAAAAGTTAAGTTATAAAAATAAATAAAAGCACACTATGGTTGGCAACCGTTTGCCGGAAAAACGGGCAAAAAGTTTTTTCTTTCAAACTTTCATTCAAAATTCTATCTATGCACTCGAAAAATACTAAAAAATGACACGCTTCAATTCGTGCCGACATACCTAACCTGTATCCTAACCTCTAACAGCCTACAACTTTATAGAACAGCGGATGTATCTGCTATGATTATATCTGCTATGAGAGTATAATGACAGGTCAGAAATTAACAAAAGACATATATTGGACTAATTTAATTAATGCTTATTCTATGTAAGAATAAAATTACGTGTAAACAAAAAACAGCTGTTAAATTCATGGCTGCCATGTTGGTTACCTATGCCCTAACGGCTAGTAATGTGACTACATTTTCGACCTAACACCTAACATTGGCCCTGGCCTGTTGGATCGAACAATGTTAACCGGCCGATTCTTACAAGTCTAAGTCATCATTTTTCTCGATCTAACACGACCTAACAGAGTTAACAGGGTTAACAGAAACATCGTGAATACCACTATTTGTCTTCACTATACAATTATCTACATCACCTTTCTCAAATCATGTCGTATTAAGAATTTTGTTAAAAATCATTTACAGGCATCTTGATCGTATTTACAACTTCATTGTTAAAGATGTATTCGTCCTAATTTATAAACGTTATCAGTTGTGCATTTATGCCACAAAAGATTTTAATTAAGACAGAAAACAATAACGGCGATCGTAAACATAAAAATTGACTGGCTTTATGTTCTGCTTAATTATGTACGTCTGCCTAACCTGTTCATCGATCATAGATTAAGTCGACGAGGAGTGATGATTTGTTAAACTTAAATGTTATCATCGAGTAGGTGTAGCATTTAAAAAGAATCTTCTATTCTTTATCAAATCCACAAATTCCAATTCGCAATCTTTTATTTTGGAATTTAATCTCGTCGATATCAGCGATATTGTACTTACAAGTCCGGCATTCAGACGCGATGACTTTTAACTTGGGAATGCACAGAATTCGACCTGTTTATGCAACCGGGTTGAAATTCTAGATTTACTATCTTCTTTCCTCAACTCGACATGAATGTTCGCCCATGTATTCGTTCAATTTAATTTTTACTTTTCTTTTAGTTTTCCACGGTAAATTATGATGTTGAAGAAGTGACGCAGCTCGACCTTGTAACTTAAAGGCTTGGCAACTCCCCGCTTCAGAATGAAATAAAACCATCTGCAGAGCTTTTTCCACATTTTTCTTTACAAATGTTCAACGTAATAACATGTTGAGAAAAAAGAATATTATCCATATAGGATGGGTAGCAAATGATTTAGCCTGCCTCCCATTCCCTTGTGACACCAAATTGACGTCAATACGATACGTCTGATTTTTTTTTCGGTAGGCAAATAGGATTGCTCACTAAAAATATGTTCGTTTAACGTCACAATATCGTTTTTTTATACATTCGCCTGCTGAAAACTTGAAATTTAGAATTTTAACTATGTTATAAATAGGCAAAGGAAAATCATGCGAATATTTCTTGATTATCATAAATAGAAAAAGTTTATGTTGATACTCTTTGTTGTATTGGCGTGGAAAAGTTATGTAGGTATGACTCGAACCTAGTCTTGATAGATTTGGCCATTTGGAATTGGAAAATCTGTTGTCTTCAACTAATTTTTCATTTTTTTTTTTAAATTAAGACGAGATTTAATATTTATTGTTTGAAAATCCGAGAAATTCTATGTGACTCAAGCAATAATGGAAACGTTTTTTAAATGGACACTTAAAGAAGATTGAAATAATCCAAGACGGCCACAAGAAGGGTGGTAGAGGAAAGTTGGGTTACTAAGGGGTTGGGGATGGCCTGTGAGTGAGGGATTTGAGCTTTATCAGAGGCACACGAGGGTTAGCGTACCAGATCCTGTCTGCATAGACGGGGGAGGGTGCATAACCATCTGTACTATGGGGTAGCAGTAATGTTCCAAAGCCCCTGCTACATGGGAACGGACTCGTAGTGCTTTAGATGCTCCTGGAGGGAACTTAGAGAAGAAGCTGTTCTTTGTGACCTCCGCCCAAGCACTTACGTATGACCTTTGTTGCAACACCGACCTCACGGGAGAAGAAGGATCGGAAAATCGAAGCGTTGAGGACGCTCAGACTACGCTGACGCAGTCCCTCGAATGCGTGAGAAGTGGCGAATGGGAACGGATAGTGGTCGGT